GAAGCGAGTTTAAATTCCCCTCCTCCCCGTTGTTCTCCACTTTCCATTCCTCCTCCTCCTCGTCCTCCTCCTTCTCTTCCTCATCCTCCTCGTCCTCGTGGCCAGGACGACCGGGCGTTGGAGAACGCGTTCGCCATGGCCGTGCAATCTGGCTCGTCCAACGATCCGCTCGAGTTCCCCGGGCTCGCCCATTTCTGCGAGCACATGGTGTTCTTAGGCGATGATGTTCCGCCCCCTCCTCCTCCTCCTCCTCCTCCTCCGCCTCCTCCTCCTCCACCGCATCTTCCTTAAGACATCGGACTCGCTGGTACTGGCACTCCGCATACTCTTCCTCTTGTTCCTGGTCAGCCTCCTGTTCCTCGCCCCTTTCTCGTCATCTGGCGGTGGAGCTAGGAAGGCCGACTCGAGGATCGAGGTTTGGATGTTAGTGTGCCTTCTTGGGCTCTCGGGGAGCGCCACACGGCGGGGTTCTCCTCGAGATGTTGGTCAGAAGGCGCTCCAGCAGACGTCTGGTGGTCCATCTTGACGAGAGAAAGCCCCAACCTCCAGAGTCTTCGAAGCCAGAGAAGTTGATTGGACGAGTTGTCCCGCCCAGGGTTCTGTCCCAGGCTTCCCTTCACTCTTTTGGTTGACGGGCCTCTTTGGCCTCAGACGGGAGAGGCGTCGGGCAGGAGGCGCCGGATCCTTCGCACGTAGGACTGCGTGCGTGGATGGGGAGTCTCCAACGCGTGCCTGGCGCGTGCGCGTTTGGGGCGCGTTTTCAAGTGTGCAGGCAGCAAGGCGGGATCGAGCACGTGGCAGGCTCTTTTTTCGAATGTAAGCATGCATGCGTGGAGGGGGGGGGGCTCCAACATGCGTCTGGCGTGTGCGCATCGGGGAACTGATTTCACACGTGCAGGCGCCGAGGGGGGGTCCAGCATGCGTTTGGCGCGTGCGCATGTGGGACGTGTCTCCAAGTGTGCAGGCGCCAAGGGGGGTATTCAGCATGTGGTCGGCGGGTTCTTAGCAAATCAAAATACGTGCGCGGAGGAGGGTCTCCATCATGCGCCTGGCGCGTGCGCATGTGTGGCGTGCTATCACGTGCGTAGGCGCCAAGGGGGACATCAAGCATGCGGTCGGCGTCTGGTGCGTGCGCGTGTGGGGTGTGGCTTTACGTAGCCAGGCGCGAGGAGGGGTATCCGACGTGTGGTCGGCGGGTTCTTCACATGTGAAAATACGCGCGCGGAGGGAGGTGTTCAGACATGCGTCTGGCGGGCGCGCGCATGCACGTTTGGGATGTGTTTTCACGCATTCAGGCGCCAAGGGAGGTATCCCGCATGTTGTGGCCGCCGGATTTCTCACAACGTAGGGGTACGTGCGCGCGGGGTGATATTCAACGGGCGTCTAGCGTGCCCACGCGTTTGGGATGTGATTTCGGGTGCGCATGCGCCAAGAGAGAGATCGACCATGTGGTCGGCGGAATCCTCGCATGTTTTGTTTCTTAGACGGTTCTAATAACTTGTTTTCCTTTTAAACAAAAAGTGAGCGGAGGGGGGCCTACAACATGCGCCTGGCGCGTGTGCGTGTGTCCTCAAGAGTGCAGGCGCAGGGAGGGAATCTAGCACGGGGTCGGTGGATGCTTCGCACGTGGAGGTACGTGCGCGGCGGGGGGTCTTCAGCATGCGTCTGGACCGCGCGCGTTAAGGACGTGATTTCACTCGTGAAGGCGCTGGGGTCTCCGGCATGTGGCAGGGGCAGACGGGCCCTTCGCACTTGGAAATACGTCGCAGACGGTGTTACCCAGCATCCGCATGGCGTATGCGCACGTGGAGTCTTGTTTCAAACATGTATGCGCCAAGGGGTGGTATTCAACATGTGGTTGGCGGAACCTTTGCACGCAAGAATACGCGCTCAGGGGGTATCCAACCTGCTTGGGAGATGTCCGCCAGATGTCAGATATGTTTCAGGAGGGCATCGGATGTCCGATAGCGGCGATAATGACGATGGGCCTCGTGACGAAGCTTCATACTAAACGCGTGGTCCGCCGTGCCCGGCATACCACAGCACACCGCATAGCAAAGCCCAGCAGACCGTTTAATAGCATACCATGGCGTGCCAACACGAGGGTGCAGCAGACGTGTTCCAATAAAATGTGCCTCAATTTCCTTACTGGGTTCGCATATCCTTCAAGATCGGGGGATTCTGGACTCCAGGGGATGGTCTCGGGCGTGGGGGCACGGGCAAAACAAAATGCCCCACGCCAAAAGAAACGGCCTCAGAGATGGGTTAGAGAGTTTCAGGGGCTCATATCGTGAAGCAAGCATAATGTCGGAGGTCTAGGGCCCCTCTGCCCTTCGCCGCCTCGTCATGGTTTAGGCACCGAGAAGTACCCAGAGCCGAGCGGATTCGATAATTTCATGGGCGAGAATGGGGGCAGCAACAATGCTTACACCTCCTTCGACTTGACGGTCTATTTCGGCCAGATCTCCAGCGCGGTGGGGGCCGAGGCCATGGACCGCTTCGCGGACTTCTTCAGGAAGCCGTTGTTCAACCGAAGTTTCGTGGAAAAGGAGGTGCATGCCATCGACAGCGAACACGCCAAGAACGTCCAGTCGCACAGCAATCGTATCATCGAGACGATGTACTCGCTTGCGAGCTCTGATAATCCGCTGAGCAGGTTCCACACCGGCAACTTGGAGACGCTGTACACAGAGCCGATGTCCAAAAACAAGAACCCTGTGGATGCTCTTGAGGTCTATTTCCAGAGGTATCGAAGACGCCTACGGCGAATCACCACCACCCCTGCCATTTAGAAGCGCCGACGTGGCCGACCGTTGCGGCAGGAGCTCGGCAAGAGCTCGGCCAAGCTATCGGCCAGCCAGAATCACCAAGAAAAGCAAATTCTGTTGGCCTCTTCGGACGTTCCTGGAGGTCCTCTTGGAGGCATCTTGGATCATCTGGGAGGCCTCTTGGGCCGTCTTGAGCCATTTGAAAGAATGCTTTCTGCCGCTGGGGGGGGGCTTCACAACCCCCCCCAAACACAAAAAAACTAGAGGAGGGGTTCAGGAACCCCCTCCCCCTGAAAGTTAGTGGGGGGGGCTGGGAACTCCCTCTTCCCCCAGGACAATTATTAGCTGAGCCCCCGATCCCCAGGAAAGTTCCCCCCCCCCCTTCCCCTCCCCCCCAGGACGGCGACGACGACGACGACGACGACGACGGAGACGAACGACCACGGGAACGACGACGCACGACGTACGCGCACGACGCACGACCACCGACGACAACGACGCCGGCGCCAACGCAGACCGACGCCGACGACGACGCCAACGACGACGACGACGACGACGACGACGACGACGACGACGACGACGACGACGACGGGAACGAACGACGACGGGAACGACGACGCACGACGCACGCGCACGACGCACGACGACCGCCGACGCTGGCACCAACGACGACGACGATGACGACGACGCCGTCGACGTCGACGACGACGACGACGACGCTGCCGCCGCCGACGGCGACGCACGACGCACGACGCACGACGACGACGCGCGACGCACGATTCAGGACGCACGACGACGACGACGACGACGACGACGACAACGAAGACGACGAAGACGACGACGACGACAACGACGACGCGCGACGCGACGACGACGACAACGACCGCCACGACGACGACGACGGGAACCAACGACGACGGGAACGACGACGCACGACGCAAGCGCACGACGCACGACGACCGCCGACGCTGCCGCCGCCGACGGCGACGCACGACGCACGACGCACGACGACGACGCGCGACGCACGATTCAGGACGCACGACGACGACGACGACGACAACGAAGACGACGAAGACGACGACGACGACAACGGCGACGCGCGACGCGACGACGACGACAACGACCGCCACGACGACGACGACGACGACGACGACGACGGGAACGAACGACGACGGGAACGACGACGCACGACGCACGCGCACGACGCACGACGACCGCCGACGCTGGCACCAACGACGACGACGATGACGACGACGACGCCGTCGACGTCGACGACGACGACGACGACGCCGCCGCTGCCGCCGCCGACGGCCACGCACGACGCACGACGCACGACGACGACGCGCGACGCACGATTCAGGACGCACGACGACGACGACGACAACGAAGACGACGAAGACGACGACGACGACAACGACGACGCACGACGCGACGACGACGACAACGACCGCCACGACGACGACGACGACGCCGGCGCTGACGCCAACGACGACGGCGCCGACGACGACGGCAACGACGAGTAGAGTTGGCGTAGAGTATAGTGTAACACGAGTAGAGAAGAGGGTATAGTAGAGTCGAGTCGAGTAGGGCGGACTACGGTAGGGCAGAGTAGGGTAGAGTAGAGTATAGCAGGGGAATGCCGATCAAATTAGAACAATGAAAGAGTCGAGTAGAGAAGATTAAACGGGTAGAATAGAGCAGAATCAATAGTAGAGCAGAGCCTAGCAGAGTAGAGTAGCAGTTCAATAGAGTAGGGGCAAAGTAGAGTAGAGAAGAGTATGTTGGGTACGGTAGGGTAGAGTAGGGTAGAGTAGAGTGGGACAGAGTAGAGTAGAAGAGAGTAGAGTAGAGAAGGGTAGAGAAAGTGGAGTAAGATCAATGTGGAGTAGAGTATATGTTAGGGTACGGCAGGGTAGAGGAGAGTAGGGCAGAATAGAGTAGGGCAAGTATATCCGAGAAGAGAAAAGTAGAGGGGTAGAGTCGAGCAAATATAGTAGAGTAGAGCAGAGTAGAGTAGAATATAGTAGAGTAGTGCTGAGTAGAGTAGAGTAGAGTAGGATCTAGACTAGGGCAGAGTAGAGTAGAGCATAACACAGTAGAGTAGGAACAATATGTTTGTAGAGTACTGTAGAGCATGGTAAGTAGAGTAGAGTTGAGTAGGGGAGGATCGAGTGCAGTAGAGAGTATAAGAGAGCAGAGTGGAGTAGAGTACAGTAGAGAAGGAGTACAGTCGAGTAGAGTAAGGGCAAAGTGGAGTGAGTAGAGCAGAGTATGTGAAGGTACGGTAGGGTAGAGTAGAGTAAGGTAGAGTAGAGCAGAGCAGAGTAGAATAGAGTAGAGTCGAGGAACGCCGAGTAGAGTAGAGAAGTACGGAGTAGGTTCGAGCACAGTAGGGCCTTAACTGTGTTAGGTCGTTAGAACCCACGCCAATGGTAGGAGACTGGGTACATGTTCGGCGACGACCTTGACGGACCGGGTTCCCACCAACAGTGGAAACACATCAGTTCTCCGTTTGCACTTGCCGCATAACAACGACGACGACGAGTACTACTACGATTACGACTACGACTACGGCTACGATTACGACTACGGCTACGGCTACGATTCTGATTACGAAAAGTTCGCGACCGCGGCTACGATTACGACTGCGACTACGACTAGCGACCCCGACCTTCAGCGAAGAATGTGCCGATCTATAGTGTAATCCTCCTACAAGCGTGCTCATATCTCCCCTGTTGCGCAGGCTTGCCCAGGGAGCGCTACCCGGCGGGAGAGAGCGAGAGAGAGAGCCACCGAGCATGATCCAGCACGGCGCACAGTGGTGGGAATTCCATCGGCGACCCGCGGCACGGGCGCCGAGAACGAGGATATAGGTGTAGAGAGAGAGAGAGAGCTCTCGATCATGGGAAGGGCGCCGAGGAGACGGAATCCTGGCATCGCTCGGACGTGTGTATTGTTTTTCTCGGCGAGGACCCTTGAGGACCATCCTGGACCATCGAGCAAAAAAAAAAATCGAAAAATGCACGGGAAATTGACGTCCGAGCGATGGCAAGGAGAGAGCTCTCGATCATGGGAATGGCGCCTGTGAGACGGAAGGCGCCACCCCCAGCGAGACGGCATCCGCCAGGGTCTGGCTCTCGCGCGAGGGTCTCCCCGTCCTTCGTGTCGCCTCGTCTGGCTTCTCCTCCTCCTCCTCGTCCTCCTCCGCTTCGTTGTTTAACGCCGGACCAGCCTGAGCGTGAAGTCGTGGCGTTTGGGCCGTCAGGAAAAAAAAGCACGTGCAAGAACAGTTCGGGTCAAGGACACCTGGCGGGCGCTGCGGAGAATGTGATAGCACGAGCGCAGGAGAAGGTAATGTGATTCATGAGAGTTGGCGCCCTCCAGGTGTGACGACACTCACCTTCGTAAGATCTCGACACCATCATAGGGTAAACATATAATAAGTAAGAACGTTAAGTTTAATGGTGAAAGCCGCCGCGGCTCAGCATTGAAAGTGCGCCAGGCAGTGCAATGTCGGGGCTGCTGCCCTGAATGATATTCAGGAAGGGAAAAAAACACACAGACACACTTAATCGTCGATTCCCCCGGAAAATATGGGAAAATATGGGAAGTGGGGGGAAGACACAAACCCAGGAAATATGTGAAAATATGGGGGAATACTTTTATTTGTGTGTATTTATTTGTGTGTCCTGGGGCCCCTTCATGTGTACCCGTCCTCTCCAAGCCTTACCCAGCTTGAGTGTATGTGCCAGCCAGTGGCACTGTACATGGCAGGCTGCAGATGTGAGGAAAGAAGGAATGTAGGATAATAGGCCGAGGATCGAGTTGCACAACAGGTCACAGCCTGTGTAGATACAGGCATACAGGTTGCAACTAGAGTGGGGGATCGGCCTGTAGCAACAACAATTCCCGCACAGAGTGTAACAGCTGCCCTGCCAGGCTGGTCTGTTGTGGTTAAAGCTGTTCGTGAGGATGACGTAAGCGGGGCGCAGGAGGCGATGTAGAAGGAAAAGCCGAGCAGTGAGATACAAAAAAACCTAGCATGCGCAGGTACTGGCTTGCAGAGAGCAGTTAGAATGGAGGATCGGCCTGTTGAAAAAAAACGAGTGCCAGTGCCTTGCAGTGCTTGGGTTGTTGTCCAGGGTTTTGTTGGCTGACCCCCAACCAAGCTGCAACCCCCGACCATCGTCGTCCGTCCCGCGTGGGCAAGTTGCTCAAGGGTCCCAACGTACGAACAGGGCCAGACAAGGTATCAATGCTGAAATGTGCCAGGGGTTGGTGAGGCAGGCTGCGCAGCAGAAAGTGAAAGTCTGGCCTGCCAGGCTGGCCTGTGGTCGAGGCTGCTCGTGAAGTTGGGTAAGGGGGCGTAGGAGGTGATGTCGAGAAGAGAGACCAGTGAGGTTGCTGGGGTGGGCAGGCAAGAGACAAGTCAAGACACTTGACTCTGTGCAACGAGTATTTGGTTGTTGCCCAGGTTTCTTTGGTTTACCCCAAACCATTTCGGTCCTAGCATACTCGTGTTGGTTTGTAATGTCGTTCTGGTTAAGCACGAGCCCGTCTTGTCCAAGATGTTTGCACAAGGGACGTGTGGTTTCGTTGGTTGCAGTTCTTAGGTTGCTGCCCAGGGTTTTACTGGTAAGCTCCCAACCAAACTGTCCTCCCCACCCCTACCACATCCACATCACCCATCCCCCCCCCCCGCCTGTATGCTGCCAGCGTACTGCAGCTCACG